AACCGATCGGTGCTTATGACATTCCCAATATGCGCTGGCTGACGTCGGGGCAGCTTGAGTATGAGCATTTTTTTTTGCCGATGCCCGTGATGCCGCCCCCACCACGTATCTAAAACCGCTACTGATCTAGTATTAAAGTTAATACCTGTCTTTGATGGTGTCGGTGGTTTGGATTTGAGAGAAGAAACATCTGACTCTTCTTCCTCTTTTTTCTCTTCATTCTCCAGACAGGTGGCTGAAGAGTTGTCACCAAGACCTGACAGAGAGGCAAACAGAGCACTGCTGGTAACAGCACAATTTTCTCATAACAGGTTGATTTGGCAAAGATTTGATGCCAGATGACCTTCCTGATGCAACTCTCTTCAGTTTTCTAGGGCTGGGACCTGCAGTGCACTGGCTTGTGTTCACACATTGTGCGATGAACTTCACAGAAACTGTTTGCTTGATGCTCATTTGTGTCTGTAGCGCTAACTAGATCCTGAAGTACCACAACTATTACTCATGAACATCTGCACCAAAAATGCTGTTTTGGATTGTTTGAGGTCACTTTACCCACTAAGTGTGATTTGTATGCAATAAAGATTGGCGATGGACACTCTAATAAGATTGTCTTTCATATGTTATTGTTCTGCCCAATGAGTTTGCATCAGTTTGATGTTTAAATGTGCACAGTGACAGGAAATAAAACACACATGCTAAAAAAAAAACCCTCAAATACATTACATCTAGCAAGTCTGATTTGAAAACATAAGGAGTAGAAAGGAGATATATTTGCATTAAAAAGTAAAAGTTAAAAGGAATACTTAAATAAAGCACTGAAAATTAAAAACAGGTACAGTAAAAATGATTTGTACTTCCCACCTTTTTCTTCCTTCAAGTCTTCAGAAGGGACTTCCTTTTTCCGTCTCCAAGGAAAGGACTCTCTCAATCTATTAAATGTATTATCAAACCTCGGCATACTGGGATCTAAGAAAGAAAAGCACACAGTTTAATGTAGTTTGAATAACAGACTGCAGGCCTGATTTCTGGTCTTTTGTTTTCTCCCTGTCACGGTCCTGGGTCGGTGACCCAGTGTTTGTGTTTTTGGTTTAAGTTTTACTCTTTGAATTGTGGTTTTCTGTTGTATTATATTTACTGTTCCTGGTTTCTGTTCTGGTTTCGCGCCTCACCTTGCCTCGCCTCATATTTCTATGTCTCATTGTCTTGTCTGTGTCATCATGAACGTCTCATGCTTCCTGTTTTATTGTGATAGTCCCTTGTCATGTGTTCAGTGTATTGAGTTTTGTTTCCCTGTGTCCCGTTATGTCAGATTCGTCTCAGCTGCGTTCCCACCAGTTCCCATCCTCTTGTTGTCCTACTTGTGTATTTAAGCCCTGCATCTTCCTTGTTCATTGCTGGTTTGGTTGTCAATCTCCCCCTGTGTGTCATCCTCCATGTTGCCTCTGTGTTTCTTCCTCGATGTTTCATATCTTAGGCTCCTCGTTTCCAGTTTCAGGTTTTTGTTACGTTTCCTTTGTTCCTCGTGTTCTTTTGTTAGTTTCTCCCTGTTCAGGTTTTGTAAGTTTATTCCTGCCATGCTCTGCTTTTGTTTGCATTGAGTCTCACTGTGAATAAAAACTCACACCCAACTACTCTGTCGTCTGCATCTGCACTCGAGTCCTTCTATTGTCACTCCATACGTCTGCCTCTGTAGCTGTGACACTCCCTTTTCCACAGGCAAGCATCAGCAATGCTTTTTGTTGTGAAGTCAGTACCCAAAAAAACTGTTGTTTTTGTTGTCCACTTTAATGACCAGGGCACTGCAGCAAACGTTTTAGGGAACATTTTATAGAGATAAAATCATTTGCAAGTGTGCAGATTTTAGCCACTTTGGTTTATTCTTTCATGACTGTATAATTTTTACTATGAAAGCTGATAATGGGTTTTTTAACAGAAGACATTGAGAGTTTTATAGTAAGGACAGGGGTAACAATCCGTGCACTAATGATGTACATCTAGTTGTTAATATATGCTGGTCAGCTAGCCATCAAAAAAGTGTACGTTGAAAGTGTCCAATATAAACGAATGCAGGCATTTATTAATATAGCTAATTCCACATGTGCTTTTATTCTAAGGAAACCCATTTTTCCTTGGTAGTATGACTTGATATTTATATGTGGATTACTTTCTGCACTGCATGGTTAAGATTACATCCTGGAAATATTCTATATGTGCAAAAATTTGCCATTTTACTGAGGCAAAGTTATTCTGTTATCATACATTAAATATGCTTTTAACTTAACTGATTCTTGCCCAGGTTAAAAATGTTTGAAGGTATCAGATCAGGATTCAGGAAATTGTGATGAATATTTTTCCTTATTTTATTTTTCAGCTTCTCAGGGAAAAGGAGGGGGCAAAACAATCACTCATAAATGTTAATGTTACACTACTAAATACAAATAGCAGCTTTACTTGGTCAACATTTTACTTCTGGTTGAGTTTTCTGCAGCCTTTAATAGTATTAATGCTACAGACTAGACAGCTGAGTTGGCATTACTGGTACTGCTCTTAAATGGTTTTCTTCATACTTATCCAAACAGATAATAGCCAGATGCAACAATCTGATGGAAAGCCTTGAACCAGAGGTGGAGGCTTTTCCAGCAGCAGATTAGTGCCCATGGTTTGATTTGGCATTGCAATGTTAATGTCCACATACTTTGTTCATACGTTTTCAAACTCTAGTCAACAAAGACTATGTTAAGGTAAATACTAAAAAATGTTAGTAGAAGTTTAATAATTAAATATTGCCAGTATATAGGATCATTGATCTAGTATTAAAGTTAATACCTGTCTTTGACGGTGTCGGTGGTTTGGATTTGAGAGAAGAAACATCTGACTCTTCTTCCTCTTTTTTCTGTTCATTCTCCAGACAGGTGGCTGAAGGGTCGTCGCCAAGACCTGACAGAGAGGCAGACAGAGCACTGCTGGTAACAGCAGAATTTTCTCATAACAGGTTGATTTGGCAAAGATTTGATGCCAGATGACCTTCCTGATGCAACTCTCTCCAGTTATTTAGGGCTTTTGCACTGGCTTGTGTTCACACATTGTGTGATGAACTTCTCAGAAACTGTTTGCTTGATGCTCATTTGTGTCTGTAGTGCTAACTAGATCCTGAAGTACCACAACTATTAGTCATGAACATCTGCACCAAAAATGCTGTTTTGGATTGTTTGGGGTCACTTTACCCACTAAGTGTGATTTGTATGCAATAAAGATTGGCGATGGATACTCTAATAAGATTGTCTTTTATGTGTTATTGTTCTGCCCAATCCCACATACCAAGCAGGTCTGGCCTGGATCTGGTATCAAACCGGTACTGCTGACTTCTGGCATGATAAGACGTATGTCATCCAGATATGGGCCAGGCCTGGCATAGATGGCACTGTTTATGTGATGGCATGCCACATCTGGCTTGATTGTGGTTTGGTTCATGTGGCCCAGGCCCATAGAAAACAGGTCTGGCCCGGATCTGGCATCAAGCTGGCACTTCTGACTGACTGGTGTCATGGCAAAGTGTATGTCAACCAGATGTGGGCCAGGTCTGGCAATGATGGCACTATTTATGTTCCTATTTTCCTATTTTAGTTAGAAGACCCAAATGCCATGTTGCAATACTATACTGCTATGGTAAACAACGTTTCAAATGCAGGTGTGACAGGTTTGTGAGGGTACACTTTATCCAAAACCTAGTGACGGTTTACTCATCTTTGACAGTGGGTGGCTGTAGCTCAGGAGGTAGAGCAGGTCACCTACTGATCGCAAGCTTAGTGGTTCGATCCCTGGCTCCTCCAGTCTGCATGTCAAGAGTGTGAATGTGTATGAATGTAAATAGGAAGCACTCAGTTTAGAGAAAGTGTTTGATAAATGTTGTATAGAGCACTTTAAGTAATCTGGGAGACTAGAAAAGCGCTGTATAAGAGTCACTGTCTGAACAGAGTTTTGTCATGTTACTTTTGCACTGTTTTGCATGTTCTGGCACCTGTTGTTATTACATGGCTTGATTAAGGTACACATTAGGCTGACATCCGGGCCCAGAGCTGAAACTGTCTACAACTGGCCTTGTGCTGGCCCATGTGTGGGCTACATCTGGCAAACCAAATCTGGGCCACTAAAGGGTCGTCATTCTTTGCGGTATGTGGGCCATGTGTAAGCACATTCTGTGGGCCAGATCTAAGCCATACCAATTTTGCTATGTGGGATAAGGTTGCAATTTGGCATCATCTTGATGTTTAAAGGTGCACAGTGACAGAAAATAAAAACACACGTGCAAAAAAAAAATTCAAATACACATTACACCTGGCGAGTCTGATTTGAAAATGTAAGGAGTAGAAAGGAGATATATTTGCAATAAAATGTAAAAGTTAAAACGAATACTTAAATAAAGCACTGAAAATTAAAAACAGGTACAGTAAAAGTATTTGTACTTCACACCTTTTTCTTCCTTCAAGTCTTCAGAGGGGAGTGTATCCACTTCCTTTTTCCGTCTCCAACGAAAAGATTCTCTCAGTCTATTAAATGTATTTTCAAACTTCGGCATACTGGGATCTAAGAAAGAAAAGCAAAAAGTTTAATATAGTTTGAATAACAAACTACAGGCCTGATTTATGGTCTTTTGTTTTCTCCACTTTCCACAGACAAGAGAACATTTTAATAAACATTTTACAGAGAAAAAAATCATTTGCAAGTGTGCAGATTTTAGCCACTTTGGTTTGTTCTTTCATGGCTGCATGATCTTAAACATGAAAGCTGATAATAGCAATTTTTAAACAGACGACATTTGGATTTTTTTTAGTGAGGGTAACAATCCATGCATAAATGATCTATACCCTGGTGGAGGGTTTTGTGTATTCCAGAGATCCCAGGGGCTATGATGTTGGGGGGCTTTTGTCCCCTGGTAGGGGTGAGGCACCAGATAAAGAGCAATTCAAAAACCCATATGAGAAGACCCAGGGAACAGTTTACCCTTCCCAGGATAGGGTTACTGGGGCTCCACCCTGGAGCAAAGATGTTCCCTGTGCCTTCGGGTCAGGAAACGTGTCCTGACTGTCGTCAGCCTCTATGTGCTGAATAACAGTTCAGAGTACCAGGCCTTCCTGGAGTTCATGAAGAGAAAACTGAGCGTAAAAGCGAAACTTTCGATTACCAGTCAATCTTCGTCCCCACCCTCACTTATGGTCAACAGTCTTGGGTAGTCATCAAAAGAACAAGGTCGCAGATACAAATGAGCTTTCTCCAAAGGATGGCTGGCCTCTCCCTTAGAGATAAGGCAAGGCATTCAGCCGTCCAGGAGGCGCTCAGAGTAGAGTCGCTGCTCCTCCACATCAAAAGGAGCCAGTTGAGGTGGTTTGGGCATCTGACAAGAATGCCTCCTGGGCACCTCCTGGGTGAGGTGTTCCGGGCATGTCGGACCAGGAGGAAGCCCCTCCATCTCTTGGCTGGCCAGGGAACGCCTTGGTGTTTCCCCAGACAAGCAAGAGGAGGTGGCTTGAGAGAAGGAGGTCTGGGCTTCTCTGCTAAGGATGCTGCCCCCGCAACCTGGCCCCGAATAAGTAAAAAAGGATGGGTGCAGGGATGGATGGATGGATGGATTTGTATGTGAAAGTAAATCTCTACATATCCAGTATGCAAGATCATTGATCTAGTATTAAAGTTAAGAAATTTCACCTGTGTTTGATGGTGTTAGTGGTCTGGATTTGTGAGAAAAAACATCTGACTCATCATCCTCTTTTTCCTGGTTGCTCTTCGGAGAGGTGGATGCAGAGCCAGGACTCAGACCTGACAGAGAGGGGAGAAGAGGACATTTGCTTTCTCTTTTAAACTGACTCTTTAGTCCCTAGTTTCAAAAATACATTCGTCTTTGTGGTGTCACAGCAATTAATGTCCTGCCACAGGATTCAATTCAGGTTGAGCTCTGAACTTTTTCTGGGACGAGCCAAAACATTAATTCTTTGCTTTTTTTTTCACCATTCTGTTGTAGATTTGCTGCGGTGCACGAGATCATTGTCCTGTTGCATGGCGAACTTTGGGCCAAGCGCTGGTTTCACATTTGACTGTAAAACACTTTACATGTATACAAAGTAGTTCATGTATCCTGTAGCAGGCAAACCGAAGCCCTCGCCTCAAAGGATAACCTGAAGCAGAGGACAGACCAGTAAAGTGGCTTCTTCCACCCTCTTGCACAGGCTGAAAAGTCTAGTATTTTGCTGTTAATGTGGGGAAAAATAAATATATCTTTATGAAATATAATAGACATTAAACTTCTGGGGGAAAGAGCAATATTTTTATATCTTCCATTTCTTTGTATTTAAAGTTTGAGGTGAGTTTTTATATCTTTACCAGCACCAGTTAATGTT